GCAACAGGATGAGCCCGGAGTTTCTTAGCGCAAATAACATTAATTACTGCGAAAAATGCTTATTCGGGTTCGATTAAGACCATTTTAATAATTCTTCCCAGCCAAATTTTCCTTTTGAAATTAAAATTCGAGTCATACATGTATTTGCAAATAAAATCAACTAAATTACACTTTTTCTACGCAAGTATGATTCTGAGCTATAAGTTATTCTTGCATAAGAGCTTCAGCCATCCAAGATATACTAAGGCGATTTAGGGACTGATAGCAAATTTATCACAATAATATCTGTAGGCCTAACGATCCTATCTACTTTTACTTAACCTTGCCTCCAAAACCTTTACTCATTCAAACATAGATGGGGTCGAAACTGAGGTCTGTTATGGGTAAAAAAGCACTTTAGCATATATAACTAAAGCAAGTCTAATGGCTTTCATTAATGAGAATTGCAAATTACCTATTAAATCCATTTAAGCAACCTAGAGTGACAAGAGTTCTACTCTTAATAGCTTTAGTCAACTTAAATAAATATTTCGTGAGTTATATACATAAATGTATTATAGTCTCGAAGGCCTACTTATTAAACGAAACATCTCATGATTTAGTTGGTTATTCAAGTTACCTCGACATGGTTTCAGATAGCTTATGTGTTTACGCATCGCGTGCACAACATTTTGGCGTTAAAATAAAGCTCGTAAGCATACTTAACCAGTATTTACTATTCAAAAGATCTTCTAAATATAAAATCTATTTACACAAAGCATTAATTTAAAAAGTATTGCCATGGACAGTAGGTAATTAAATATACCCAACTAGTAAACAAAATACAAAATTTCCGATGAGCCAAGAATAATCAAGAGATTACCAGACAGCGAGTTATAAAAGCAATGGTCGAATTGGTATCAATCTCCTTCAAAGCATCAAGTATGTAGAGACTAGCGATTGAAGAAAATACAAAACGAGCATCCAACTCGCCACAGAAGTTTCCTGCGCGGAAACAGCCTGAATAGACAGACTCTGCATTCAATTTATCTGATTCTTCGATACCTATACGGCCTGGTGTTGAGGATGAAGCAGTATAACGTATTTGAAGGGCAGCAAGACTACGAATAATACCGGGCCTATTGAGACGCGATAGATCATCACCCAAAGCCAGAAGGCAACATAGTGAAGTGTATACAGCAGTGCTATGGCTTCCGTCGTAGGGAAGAATTGTGTGCTATAGAGAAACAAAAAGAAGCGACAGTAAGCTGAGAATTATCATCTGCATTTTTAATTTTCGAAAACTTAAATTTCTAGTAATTTGTCTCGCTAAAATACGAAAATATAAATGATGTAAAACTGTAACAAATAATAGGGCTTAATAATTTTAAAAATTTTACTTAGCGAGCAAGTGTGGATATCTTATTGAGTGCGGGAAGATAGCTACAAGGGAATATTAACAAATTGTTAAAAAAGGATAATCAAAGACTATATGTTATTGTCATTATAAATTCAATTGAATTCATTATAATGCTGTTTATATGTGATATTGCATATATATCGTAATGAGGAAGCAAATAGAGAAACGACAATCCACAATTTTTAAAAATTCATTAATATACCAAACGAATCCTCGTTCAAAAATAAACAAACAATCAAAGAAGCATCAATAGTATTAAAGATTTAAAAAAGTCTTTTAGGATTCGGGTGTTTAAGAATATATGGAAAAAATTACCGTAAGTGAATCAGCACCAGAAATGCAATTAGAGCCACGAAAGCCACATCTATCATCACCTGATACGAAATAAAAGAAGCATACTTACTCTGAGAACTTGAAATTATCTGATTCGAATATACCCAATCTATTAAAACCTGCTTATCAACAGTCTCTAACGCATCCATTATGTCTAATCCATTTACACCAAAAAATAAAATAAGCACCCTTCAAAGATTAGTTTTACTTAAGATAGCGTACCTAAATGTATCAAATGCTTGAAAATTTTCCGGAAGAATCTCCGTTATACGTCTAAAATATTTATTTAGGAGATTATCCATTATCTAAATAAGACAGGAAAAGTGAATCCAGGAAAAATTAAAAGCATGCAAAAACCAATCAAAATTAAAACAAGTCTAAATAGATTCTTACTTTTTATCAAAAATTTGATAGACTAATAATAAGGACTTTTAAAACTAATTTTACGGTCACTAATTTGTAGTCGTATATACTTATGTATACAATTTTTTATTTATGAATTATTGATATTCATAGTCTAAATGATAGTTAAATTAATTGTGAATTTCTCAAGAGCAATTTGCGTGCTAGAATACAATATGTGTTATAATTTGTGCTGTTTTTACTGATACTAAATTCCAATAAGTCATATTGGTTAAATATTATACCGATTTTGCATTCGCAAAAGTAGACGTCGGCCGGATCACTGTCTCGTTGCGTTTGCATTGACATTAATATACTTGAAGATATGAAGACCACGATTTCTTGTAACACATACGCTGCAGTTTTAAAAATCCTTCGGAGTCAGAATCCTGACTAGATCACGTCGGAGTTTTGACTCAATATCTATAAACATGAATTTCTTATTCGTTTCCATATCATAGGTTTAATTTAAGTTATGCGCGGAGACCTGGTGAAGAATTTCATTGACCCTATCTGATTGGAAATGTCACTAAGTCTAGAGTATAGCCGACGAGAAATCACTTATGGTTTCAGAACTAAAAACAAAAAAACATGACATTAAATTCCTTCGGTATGCAATTATAA